TGTGGCTGCTGCTGCCTGTGCACGTGGCCACCTGCAGTGCCACGTGGCACTTTGCTATGGACTTGAAGACCCCCTGTGTTTCAGGGGCTGCTCTACACCGGTGAGGGTATGCTCACACAACATACCCTAGATCTGCAGATTTGCAGCAGCTCAAGAGTTCCCCCTGGCTAGAGGGCTGTGTGAATGTGGTAGTAGGGTGGCTGATCAAGATCTCAGCCAACCCTAGATCATCATCATCATCCACCAGGGTATGCTCACACAGCACACCCTGGATCTGCAGTGTTGCAACTAGGGGCTGATCAAGATCTCAGCCCCCCTCCATCCTCCAGTTGGCTGGCTGCAGCGAAGGCCAAGACCCTCCTGGTGTTGGTATACCTTGTGCCCTTGGAGACACCAAGGGCCAGGTATCACCTCTCTCTCCCCTTTTCTTTCCCCCACCTTCCACTGCCTCTCTGCCCTCCTCTTTTTACCTTCCCCACCCCACCTTTTCTCCCACTACCCACTATCTTACCCTCTTTTCTTCATTTCTTTTCTTTTTTCTCCTCCTTCTTTCCTCTTACTTTCTTGATCACTCTCCATCTTTCCCCATCCTCTTTCTCTCCCGTGCTCTCACCCTCCTCTCCCCCAACTACCACCACATCATCCCCCACCTCCCACTTCATATTTTTCTCTCCCACACCTATTTCTTTCTCTTCTCCTTCACTTTTTCATTCCCATTCCCCCCCTACTTCGAATTTTTTCTGTTTTTTTTTCTTCTTTCTATCTCTCTCTTAATTTATCTTTTCTCTTTTTCAAAAATTCGAAATAACATCTTTCCCACCTTTTCTCATTTTCTGATTTATTTTATTTATTTTTCTATTTAGTCTGAAAATTCGATTTTCTTTACGGGAACCCTAAATCTGATTAGGTGTTAGTCTTTACTACTTTCGGCACACGTTTTGACCCCGTGGGGGTAACGAAGTGCTGCCGAAATTTTCTGTTTTTCTTTCACTTAGTCTTCTCGGCACACTTCGACCCCATGGGGATAACGAAATGCTGCCAAAATTTTTGACAAATTAGATACTTCATTCCTCCCCACCTCCTCATCCACTTTTTACTTATTTATTTATTTATTTATTTATTTATCTCTTTATCTATTATTTCTTTATTTATTTTCTGAAATTTCCTTTTTTATTTGCGGCATCTTGACACCTAGTGTGCTCACCTTGGTCTCTCCCTTCCCCTTGGCACATTCTTGACCCCATGGGGGGGGGTAGGGAAATGCTGCTGAAAAATTTCAAAAAATAAATATTGTTTTCCCTTCACATCTTTTTACTTATTTCTTTAATTATTTTTATTATTTATTTATTTTCTTATTTATTTTTATTTTCTCTCGAAATCTCGCTGTTTATTTATTTTTCTCCCGCCTTCCCCCCCCCCATGCTTGCTCTTTTACTTTTTTGATTAGGTCACCGGTACCCTACCCTAACCACTTAAACCTCGGTTAGGGTTTTCTTAGGGTTTTTGTAGGGTTTAGGGTTCTTAAAAACCCCCCTACTTCCCCGTCCTCTTCGGGCACCCTGGACCCGAACCACCCCTCCCCCTTCGACGGCGCCCGTGCTAGCCTTGCTAGCGCCGGTCGCCGCTTTCTACCGCGGACTTCCCTCTATGCCCTCCGCTCACGCAGACCTCTTCTGGCCCCCTCTAGTCCGGTCGGTCATCTCCCCATGGCCGACGGTGTGTCGCACGCCGCCGACACGACGATGACCACGGCATCGGGCTCCACACCCGTGCCGGCGGACCAGGGCCATCAGCCCCAGGGGGATCTGCACACCTTCCTCACCTCCCTCCTTGCGCCCATCCAGGCGCAACTCGCGACCCTTGCGCCCATCCAGGCGCAACTCGCGACCCTCGAGCCCTTACAGGCGCAGGTGGCGACCCTTGCCGCCGGCGTGCAACAACTCCAGGATGCTGCGTGTCCTCCATCTCCTGGCTCCCAGTCCGGGTCCCCCATCCTTCGACAGGGTGGCCATGGCGGAGCTTCCTCCTCCGCCGCCCCCGACCCGGCCATCTTGGTGACTGTCCACGCCCCTAGCACGACGACCGCCACGAGCCAGACCCTCCCTCAGTCCACGGGCGCACCCGCCCAGATTCCGGTCACGACGGCCAAGGGACCACAACCCGCTACCATGGTCTCAGCTTTTTCGGGTGCCCCACTTCTCCCCCCTCTGCGCACGACCGCAGCGCCATCTGGCTCTACCCCTTGTGGGATGCCTTGCACCGCTCGTGCGTCTCCTCCTGCCACACCTCGCTCGACCTACGTTCGAGGTCTCGAGGACGCGATCGCCCAACTCTGTTCCGACCTCACCCTCTCACGCCTTCAGCCACCCCCACCCTCACAGGTGGCCGCGCCTTCCGGCGCACCCCCTTCGTCCTCTATTTTTCCTTCCATGCAGGCTCGCTTCCCTCGCCCTGCACCCTACCCATCTCCATCCTACCTCCTCCCCATCCCCTCGGTTGCTGCGACCTCTTCTACCGCAGCCTGCTGCTGTTTCCCCCGCCGCTCCACCATGCGGCCCGGGCGTACAGTCAGTTGTGCCTCCCCCTCCAGGACCTGCGCCGACTTATTCCGCCGTAGCGCAGTCCCCTGCTCCCCGTTCCCCTCGCCGCCAAAACGGTGGCGCACCACTCATCCGATTGTCGAGCATTCCCTTGTATGACGGTACAAGCATACGCGTGTCTAGGTGGCTACAGTCTGCCACCCGCACGCTCCAGCTCATGGGCGCCACACCGGACACGTGGGTGGGTCACCTCTCCACGCGCCTGCGTGGTGCTCCTTTGGACGCCTGGGAGGATTTCTATGCTTACTCCCTGCGTGAGGGTCGGACTCCGACCTTCATGGATTTCCAGGCGTTCCTCGAGGATCGCTTCGGAACCCGATATGACGTGACTGACGACTTCGAGCGTGTCATCACTACACGCTGGTCCGGCTCTGGTGGCGCTGCCGGCCTGGATCGCCACATCCAGGTCTTTCAGGACGCCCACCTCGTTTGTGACGTGGGGTTCCTTCCCGAGGCTGACCTTATAGATCGTTTCTTGGCCAGCCTCCCGCTCGAGTACCGCTCCGAGCTATGGCGGTACGAATTCACATCGGCCCCGCAGGCTTACGAGGCCGCCAGGAACCATGAGCGGATGCGAGCCCGTCTTCACCCCGTCTCCTCCTCCCAGCCTCAGCGCACGGGTTACGCCTCCTCCTCCTCTCACGGCACTTCCCAGCGTCGTTCCCCTTTCCACGGTCGCCCCCGCCGTTCCACGCAGCAGGGCCGCCACTTCTCGTGCCTCTTCAGCGCGCTCGAGTATGGGGCGCAGGACGCTGGTGCCCTGTCGTCGCCAGAGGGTGATCATAGCGATGACCTCGACCTCTGCGATGCCGTCCAGCACCACCTGGAGGACCCTACTCTCCCTATGGCTGAGCGCCTCCAGCTTATCCTCTCCACCTTTTCTCGGGCACGCAACCGCCCTGGTCACGCTGGTGCGTCGCCCCCCGAGGTCCCTGAGCAGGACCTCCCTCTGGGCTTTGTTCCTCCTCGCGGTGTCCTTTCCGCTGAGGAGCGCGCGGCTATTATGGGCCGACGTGGGTGTTTGCGATGCCGTCAGGACGGTCATACCTCCTCGCGGTGCCCTTATACCACCGCCCTTGACCGCCACTACGCTGACCTTTCACGCCAGCGTCGTGCTCAGTCCCCCCCCGGCGCCTCGCATCCCCGCGGCGTCTCCTAGCCACGGTGCAGTGTACACCTGCGCCCTCCTCAGTAGTAGGCTTCCCGACATCTCCGTCGCGGTTTGCCCCTCTCGCTACTGGAGTTGAGGTATCGTAGGACTCGACAGAGTGTACTCAGCCCTCTGTCGCAGTACCGTCTGCGCCGCCGCAGACCACCGTTTCCCCTCCTTCCCCGCCGCGACTACCGACGCGTCGAGCCATTCGCTCAGCCCGTTGCAACGAGCAGCTCGCTACTCGCGAGGACGTTGTGTCCTCTCTTTTGGACTTGAGCATGCTCCAGGCTCGTCAGGAGCGATTCACCCTCTATGTCGCTGCACTGCGTCGCCTTCTCGCCATCCTCTCTGACCCTGATCGCACCCTCCCGATCATCCCGGTACGACTCGGGACCTCCACGAGGATGTACTCCGCGCTGTGGGATTCCGGTTCTCAGGGCGACTTCATTCACCCACGCGTGGTGAAAGAAGCTCGCTTACCCACGACAGGGTCTCCGACTCCCATCTCCGTTACCTTAGGGGATGACAAGACCCARCGCTTCTTTGATCAGACGGTCACCGACCTCCCTTTCTTCCTCACNTCCTCACTCTCGAGCCGACTGATCGTTCCCCGGCGTCTCGTCGCCACCGCTCCTCTGCACATTTCGATGTGATGGAGATGGGGTACGACTTCATTTCTCGGCACCCCGTGGTCTCGTCGGTTCCGCAGCACCGAGGCCGATTGGGCGACGAACACTCTCGTTCTCAAAACGAAGTGTGGACAGACGTATCGCGTACCTTTCATAGGTACCACCGCGACACCACGCCCCGATCCTCCTCTCCCGGAGCCTTCCGTGCCTACACCACCTCCCTCTATCACTGTCACCTCGCCTCGGCAGTTCGCCCACTTCATCCGACAGGACGACGTAACCTTCTTTATGGTGAACGTGACGGATCTCTTACACTATGATCCACCCTGTCCCGACGCCGAGCTCATCCCTCTGGAGCCAGATCCTCCTTCTATCTCTATGGCTCCCATCTCTACGTCCGTCCCTCCGCCGTCCGTCGAGTCCACCCCGCCGTCGCACGCGGACGCTGACGCTGAGGAACTCGCACGATATACGGCTGGCCTGGAGCCCGCAGTTCGTGACCTCATCCGAGAGTACCACGACGTTTTTCCATCGTCGTTCTCGTACGCTGGCATCCCACCGATGCATGACGTCGAGCACTCCATTCAGCTTATGCCTGACTATCGTGTTCACCACCAGGCACCCTACAGACTCTCGATCCCCGAGGCCACCGAACTCGAGCGTCAGCTTGAGGAGCTCCTGAGACTGGGTTTCATTAGACCCAGCAACTCCCCGTGGGGTGCACCCGTCCTCTTTGCTCGCAAAGCGGATGAAACTCTTCGTCTCTACATCGACTACCGCGGTCTCAACCGCTACACGGTTAAGAACAACTACCCCATGCCTCGTTCCGATGAGTTGTTCGACCGCCTAGCAGGCAATCGCTTCTTTACGAAGATTGATCTTCGTAGCGGTTACCATCAGATCCGCGTCGCTGCAGCCGACCAGCCGAAGACCGCGTTCCGATCGCGATTCGGCCACTACGAGTTCACGGTGATGCCATTCGGCCTCACCAACGCACCCGCTACCTTCCAGAGGGCGATGAACGACATCTTCAGGGACATCCTGGAGCAGTACGTTCTCGTCTACCTCGACGATATCCTGGTCTATAGTCGTACCCTTGAGGAGCACCTCAGACACCTCCGCGACGTCCTTGACCGTTTGCGCAGACATGGCTTCTACGCCAAGCTGACCAAGTGCCGCTTTGCCCAGCACAAAGTGGATTTCTCAGGACACTACGTGTCTGATCAGGGTCTCTACATGGACGATGCGAAGATCACTGCTATTGCGGAGTGGCCCGCTCCCACATCCGCCAAGCAGCTTCGCAGCTTCCTAGGCCTGACCAGCTACTATAGTAATTTCATCCGGGGATACGCTAGGTATTCCTACGTCCTTACCTCCACCCTTCTTCGGAAGAACCCACCCTGGGCTTGGACACCCCTCCACGAGGACGCCTTCCGCGCCCTCAAGAAGGCGGTGACATGCGCACCGGTTCTTCACCTACCCGATTTTGAYCGCCCTTTTATCCTTACCACCGATGCGTCAGACTTYGCTGTAGGARCAGTGCTTTCTCAGGTCTTCCCCTCCTCTCCTGATTCCTCTCATCCYCGTATCCCTCGCTTCCCACCACCTACCCCTACCACTGCTTCCCGACTGACGCCTACTCGTCCAGCTACTGACGAGCCTTCTATTGACTATTCTCCTACCATCGCCGAGGACGGCACTGTCGAGTCTCGCTCAGGTGATTGTCCGATAGCCTTCTACTCCCGTCAGCTCCTGCCCGCCGAGATAAACTACACTGCTGATGAACGTGAGGTTCTCGCAGTAGTTTATGCCGCTCGGCACTGGCGTCACTACCTGCACGGGGCACCGTTCACGGTGCGTACGGACAACTCTGTTGTCCAGGCTTTTCTGACAAAATCGAAGCTCAGTCCTCGACAGGCTCGCTGGTGGCGCGACCTATCCGAGTTTAGTTTCACCACTGAGCACATTAAGGGTGAGACTAATCGGGTCGCAGATGCCCTATCACGGCGCCCTGACCACGACCAGAAGCAGATCCAGCTCTCTTCCATCTCGGTCACCACTGTCCACCACTCGGTGATCGACGAGTTTCGCACTCAGTACCGTCACTGCCCCGACTATCGCGACATACACGAGACCCTTCGGAGTGGCAAGACCGTCCCGAACTACTCTCTCGGGGACAACGGTCTTGTGTACTGGCACGGTTCATAGGGCACCAGAGAGCCCCGTATTTGCGTTCCGTCCACTGGACAGCTACGTGTCCGTGCAGTAGCAGAGTTCCATGACCAGGCAGCCGCCAGTCATATGGGCTTCCACAAGACGTTGGCTCGTGTGAGCCGCTTGCACGTCTAGCCGAAGCGCAAGGACTTTGTGAAGGACTACGCAGAGTGTCCCACCTGTCAGGAGGTGAACAGTGCAAACCACTTGCCTTATGGTTTGCTCCAGCCTCTTCCTATCCCTGAGGGTCGTTGCCAGTCCATCTCGATGGACTTTATCGGTCCCCTTCGTCCTCCGACCCCTCGCGGTCATGATGCTATCCTGGTCGTTGTCGACTGCTTCACGAAGCGTGCACGCTTTGTTCCGTGCCGCTATGCCATCAGTGCACGTGAGGTCGCCGACATCGTGTTTGACCGAGTCGTGCGTGACCACGACTTACCTCTCAGCATCATATCTGACCGTGACTCGCGCTTTACCAGCCGATTTTGGCGACGGCTCCACGAGGTGTACGACACTCAGCTCCGCTTTTCCTCGTCTTACCATCCTCAGACTGATGGTCAGACCGAGATCACGAACAAGACTCTCGGAGATATTCTCCGAAAGATTGTTTGTGACGACCAACAGTGGGATCTCCATCTTGCCCACGCAGAGATAGCCTACAACCACGCCGTCTCGCCAGCCACGGGGATGTCGCCTTACTATTGCGACCTCGGCTATCACCCTCGTGTTCCCGCGGACTTCCTTCGATCGTCCCAGTTGCATCCCGACACGAGTTGTCCTGCGCTGGATGATTGGGTTGCACACATGACGTCGATCATGAAGACCGCACATGAGCACATAGCCGCTTCCCAGACTCGCATGGCAGCACGTGCGAACTGATGGAGGATGGATCATCCATTCAAAGTCGGTGATGATGTGCTTATCGACGCCCGCGACTTACAGCTCAAAGCGGACACGCTTCGCAAGTTTCGGCGTCGCTTCTTTGGTCCATGCCGCATCCTCCAGGCCGTCGGTTTTGATACGGCGTCTAGCCCGGTCAGCTTCCGTGTGAAGCTGCCCGACTATCTACGTCAGGCTCGTGTGCACGATGTCTACCACGTCTCGTTACTGCGTCCTTACCGCAGACCGCCTGAGCGTTTCGCTGGACGACCATACGAGCGCCCTCCACCCATCATGGTGGATGGCCACGAGGAGTTCCTCGTTTCAGACATCATTGGCCGCCGAGTCACCGACGACAACCCTCCCCACGTCGAGTATCTCGTACGTTGGAAGGGTTACCCTAATGAGACGCTACCTGGGAGCCCCTCGAGCACTTGCAGCACGCTCGCATGTTGGTGCGTGCCTATGACCGTGCTTGTCGTGCTGGGTTCACTGCTCCTCCTCAGCCCACTGACCCTCCTCCTTCTCCCCCGGCTGAGGAGACCGCTGAAGTCGAGCCTGCTCCATCTGAGGCAGACCTTCAGCAGCAGCCGGATGCTTCTGAGGGTCCACAGCGCACTCGTCGTCGTCCTGCTCGATACGACGATTGACTTTGACTTACCTTCCCACGTCCGATACGACGATTAACTCTGACTTACCTTCCCACGTCCTTGACTTCTCAGTACTCCATCCACTCCAGTTTTGCTACTTCCGCTCGTCGACGTTGCGGCTCTTCCTCGACGACATTCCGGACTTCTCATCGTGGACGTCATCGGCAACTTTATGGACTTCGTCACGATCAGCTCTGCCTACTTCAGACGTCGCCACTCTCTTACCACTTTACCCTGTACTGTACCCTGCTTGTGTCGCATGATGGTCTCCCTTTAGCCTGGTTCCTCTGAGTTGGGCTCTCCCTTGGTATATGCATAGGCATCGGGACCGTAGCGTTGCCCTGGCTTCCCATCTTACGGATCTAGCTCCGACTTCCCTCACTTTAGGAGTCATTTGCATGATTCCCTTACCCATCATCTTTCTACCCTTCGCCGGCCCTCACGCCCTAGTTAGGCAGCCCCGCATGCTTCATCTAGGTGCGCCTAGTATACCAGGCTCCCTTGTTCCCTTGCATGGTCGACCCTCCATAGCGATCACCCCTTAGTCGAGCATTACCCGCCCTGATGGTCTATCTGTTAGGGTCATTG